GGGGTTGTTAACCAATGTCATAGAACAACATGTGTACTACTGTTTCATGAGAAACTATTTGTTCTGTAAGCCTTCACCTGAAGTACAATAAAATATATATATAAAAAAAATGACAGCCTTGGAACCCTATGAACGGTTCTACTCTGTCCTGTAGGGTTGCTATGAGTCAGAATTGACTCGATGGCAATGGGTTTGGTTTTGGTTTTATATCACTGGATGGGAAAATCTGAGTCATATCAGTAGCGTCAGAATATCAGTCATTCTTCCCCATGAAAAAAGTAGATTTTCATAAGTTAAATCATTATCATAATCAAAGAAGTCAAAGACCCAGTCATTAATCAGTTTTTCCAGTGAAACCAATTGCCTTTGAATTAATCTTGGGCAATCTGTTGTAATGGACATTTTTTGTAAACCCAGAAATGTACTAACAAATGGCTGCCCGAGTGGGGCTTGAGGGCAAAGTACCTAGATGTATTTTTCATCAAAATGTTCAGGGAAAAACATCTTTTACCATATCTTTTGTGGTTGCTAATAAGCTTGATTCATACACTTAACTGTCTTTTGTACAATTCTTAGCACCACAAAGAGGAAGTGCTTTTTTTTTCCTTAAAAAAAGTTACAACCCAAAGCATCAGCCTCTGTAGGTTGTCTTAATTGCTACTTTGCACTGCACTTGACTATGACTCTGATTTTTGGCACATGCTATCATACACAGAGTTCCCAAAATAAAATGCTACAGGATATCCCAGGAACTCTTAGAAGGCTTTAAAAAGGGACTCACACGCTGAAAGACTATCTTTGATGAAGACAATTCAGGCCAGCTGAATTCTATTGCAAAAGAGTTACTTGATTAATTGAGATCTTTAAGTGGGTCAGGAGAATCCTTGCTACCTCACTTATCATGGTTTGGGGGAGTCTGATGAGAATCCAGTTTTGATAAAGACAATTGTTTTTTCCTCCCCAAGTGACTATACATTTAAATAGCTAAAACATCTGTTCAGCAACATAGTAAAACATGTACACTCGGAACGCCTGAGAGAAGAGCCTGCCAAGCGATCGGTTGAGAGGGAATTTGCTGAGGGAGAGCACCTAGATAAAGCAACCACTGTTTGTTTTGTCTAGTCAGGGGGAAAGCCAAGGCAACCAATATTTTGGGTTTCCTTTATTTCGTTTGTGAAGACTTATTTGAGAAAGCGTAGTGAGGGGAGAGTTCCTGACGGAAATTTTTGTAAGCTGTCCATTGGTAGAAGAGCAAGAGAACCTTGAATGTCAACCTCTAACAGACTCTTGAGACCAACCACCAAACCACGAAAAACGACTTTCTTCTAGTGTGCCGTCTACGTTCCTTCTGATGGAAGCAGAAACTGGGAACAATGTGGCAACTGGGAAGATGGCCAACAGGGGCACTCGAATTGCCCTGGTCGTGTTCGTAGCTGGCACCTTGGTTCTGGGCACTCTCCTCTTTCTAGGTAAGTGTCACACTGGAGGCCAGGAGAACTGGGCGTGTGTGGTGAGGTTTTGTTGTGCTGTCTTTTCGCAAACGTTGTTCGAATGCAGGTGTAGCACTGTTTGCTTATGTCAGTAGCTGGTGCATCCTGAGTTTTCTATTAAATATGCAAACGAAAAAGCAGGCTTTTCTTTTAGGAGACTAAATAAATAAATGCACGCAAGTACCAAACGTACAATCCAGAGCGTGAAGTGGGCATCAAGTGGCTTTGAGTAGCTGGAGGATTTGGTTGCAAAAAATCATTTATGTATTCCATTTCGCAAAATGAGTGTTTATGAATTCACAGTCAGATACTTTTATGTATTTTGTGAGGAAAGACTTTACTTAGCATCGTGATCAAAACCATGATGGGGTTTCTTTCCATTTGATTTTTTGTTAATGTTTGCCTGAACAAATCATGAAATTTAATTCACAAAATACAAATCAGTCCTTTAAAAGGCATCTTTCATGGTATTATTCAGTTCCTTTATAGTACAGTGACTCTCTGGTGGGAGGAAATTTTAACTCTGCCTTTCTATTAGAAGCAAAAATTAATATGAAGGGAAACAAAAGTTTATCTCCCAAAATTTAAACGGTATTTTGATTGAATTATTTTAATGACTCTGTGAGAAGGTTGTACCCAGAGAGTATATATGATGAAAAAAGCTTATTTCTGTGAAAAAGAATAAAATATCTTGAAAAGGGATGAGGAATGTTCTAAACTTTTAGCATTTGAATTGTTGACTATTACCCTTTTAATTTTTCTCGTTGTTATATGCCGTGAGTCAATTCCGACTCATAGCAACCTTATATGACAGAGTAGAACTGCCCCATAGGGTTTTCTAGGCTACAATTTTTACAGGAGCAGACTGCCAAATCTTTTCTCCCGCGGAGCTGCTGGGTGGGTTCAAACCACCAACCTTTTGGTTAGCAGCCGAGCACTTAACCATTGTGCTACCAGGGCTCCTTGAATTTTTCTCATAGATCCTGAATATATCATTAGCTTGAAAGTCACATAGGAACAAGCCCTATACTTGGGAGATTTTCGGTGCATTGTACAGTGTAGCAAGCCTGGAGACATTCCTTGGCATATACAGGATGCAGGAGGCCATGTTGATTTTGGCAGGGGAAAACCAGTAATTAAACTTGATAAGAGTTAGGGCTGAGCGGTTGAAAACGCTGCTAAAATGAGCAAACCATCTTTCCATGTTTTCTGTGGCTAAAGAGTTAGGAAATTAGATGTGTTTATTGCTTTTTGGTAGAGCTAAACCTCCTATTCCTGCAATGGAATTAGTGGCTCTAGAACGCTGTTGTAAGATTTCTCAGCACTTGGGGTTTTGAGGAGTGTCATATCTTGAAATTCAAAACGGGAAGAGAAATTATACGGGCATGCAAAGGGGAGTGCATGCTATGTGGGAAGTGACTGCAAGGTTAGACCGTTTGTGTTTTACAAACACTCCCCAGCTTAAAAAATCCAAATGATTATTGTTTATGTAAGAAAAGTACTCTTTTAATGATGTTATTGCTGCTTGAAATCTTTTTGAAACTCCACTTTTATGATTACATTCTGAGGTCCTGGCATATTAGTTGGAGTATTCTCAATGGCAACAAAACTTTGTTCTTTGAGGGAAGATGATTCTTTGGAAAAGCTCTCAATTTTTTAGAGCAGAGTAAAATTCGTCAGTTGGAGGCAATGGTGGTTCAGTGTTCGAATTCTCGCCTTCCATGTGGGAGACTGGGATTCGATTCCTGGCCAATAAATCTCATGTGTAGCAACCACCTGTCTGTCAGTGGAGGCTTGTCTGTTGCTATGATGCTGAACAGGTTTCATAGGAGCTGAAGACAGAGTAAAGAAAAAAGGCTGGTGATCTCCTTCTGAAAAATCAGCCAGTGAAAACCCTATGGATCACAACAGTCCGATCCCATTGTGCATGGGGTTGCCATGAGTCAGGGGCTGACTCGACGGCATCTAACAACAACAACAAAATTCATCAAGCCAGGCAATGCTATATATGGGTAAAGAGGCCCGCATAAAATAGAAAAAACTAACTCTTTAGTGGGTACAATAATCTGACTCTCACTGGGCTCTCTAAGAGGAGCCCAAATGATGTTATAGAATAAGAGGACATGAAGGATGCGGCCTCTCTACACTTTTGCTACTCAAAGTGTGGTCTGTGGACCAGCAGCATCAGCATTACCTGGGAGCTTGAGCTCTCCTTCAGACCTACTGATTCAGAATCTGCATTTTAACAAGATCCCCAGGAGATTTGTTTGCAAATTGAAGTTTGAGAAGCACTGTTTCTCAGGTGACCCCATCCATTTGGAAGTTCAAGTACCAAACCAAATCTGTTGCTGGCGAGTAGATTCTGACTCATAGGACAGAGTAGAACTGTCCCCGTAAGGTTTCCAAGGCTACAATCTGTACAGAAGCAGACTGCCACATCTTTCTCCTGCAGAGCGGCTGGTGGGTTTGAACCACCAGCCTTTTGGTTAGCAGCTGAGTGCTTTAACCACTCCAGTTCAAGTACACTTGCTTTAAATTAAACGCACACGCATAGTAGGTTTTCATCAAGTATATCTGAACTTTTTCAGTCTTACCCCCTTCCTCCCACTCTTCACTGCCTAGTCACCCAAGCTCCACCCTCCATATTGTACCTAGCAAAGTCTTTGTCTGAAAACCTCCAGGGACCTGTCATGTCTATGACATTATTCTGGTTAAGGTCCTCTTCTGATCGATTTTGAAGTATACTTTTCTGCCAGTCAAAGTTCAGTCACATGTCTGCAATTTCTAGCATCCCTCCATACTTTTTCTTTGTATTTTAGGCTCTGAGATAATCTCTTTTCTAAACCTTAGTCCTTCAACATTAAGAGTGATTACTGGTGACCTTGAGATGGTTTCAGAGAACCTAGGGCTCTAGAATTTAAAACATCAGGTATATACCTATAATCAGTTAATTCTGAAGTGTCCTTTCTTCTCCTTTCCTTCCCCTCCCCTTCCACCTACAATCTGTCTCTCCAGTGCGGAGATGAGCAAACTTCTGTAAAGAGCCAGACAGTAAATGTTTTCGGCTTTGTGGGCCACAATCTTTCTCGACTACTCTGCTATTGTAGCAGGCAAGCAGCCATAGATAGTATGTAAACAAATGGATGTGGCTGTGTGCCAATAAAACTTTATTATGAACACTGAAATTAGAATTTCATATTGTTTTCACATGTCATGAAATATTATTCTTCTTTTGATTGTTTCCCAACCATTTAAAAATGTAAAAACCATTCTTAGCTCACAGGGCATATAAAAACAGACAGCGGGTCTGATTTGGCCCGTGAGCCACAGTTTGTTGACCCCTGCTCTGTGGTCATTCTCCTGCTCTGATCTTGGATTACTTGACTGCATTCTGAGGTCATTTCTACTGGTTGTAGAGAAATCTAGAAGGAAAAACCAAACTGCTCTTTAATTTTCTTTTAAACTCCTATCCTGTAAAAAGTAACATTTGTATTTTGGATATTAAAATATTTTCTTTATTGTCTCTATTTCATTCATTTATTGTCTTCACGTGATCTGGGCTGGTTGATTCTTATTTATTTTCAGGATCTTAAAGTGACTCCCCATGAGTTTAATGTTCTTCCTTGAGGGCTCAGGTCTGTTTGTGTCCCAATTAATTTAATCTAAACCTTCCCTTTCCTTACCATCAGATGAAGAATATCTGATTTTAGTTCTGCTTCCTTGGGAGTTTTGGGTCAAGATTTATTTTCTGTGAAAGGAATAAGCCTTCGAATTAACCATTTCATTAGCTTTTTAAATAAAGTTAAGGCTGGTATCAAGAAGGAATTGTCCAGAATCATAAAAATGAAATTATCATTATTTAAAACAAAGCTTCTTTCCACTATAAAATGATAACACATGTTCATCAGGGAACATTTGGTAAACATGTAAAAGTACATGGAAGGGAAACATTCCCCCATGGTTCCACCACCCAGGCATATTGGAATATTCCGTCCTAATCTTTATGCTGCATGTGTATATTTTTACCTTTTTTCTTCTTTTTAAAGAAATCACAACACAACTTTATGCTAAGACTCACTTTTTTTCTTAAAAATAGGCCTGAGGTGTTCCATAGGCAGTTTTCTTGAATCTGTAATGTAACACAGGTGAAAAGGCTGTTTGGAGGATGGCAGCAGAGAAAAGAACACAGAAAAGGCAGGTCTTCTTAGAATGTGGATGAATAAATAATAAAAATCACCACACTGGCAAGTGACCTAAAGGCATTCCATCTCTAGCAGAAATACAGGCTCCACTCAGCTTTCTAACCCTGCTTCCTCGCTGAGGATGCCACAGAGAAGCCCTGCCCCCAGTCCCTCCCCACCACCCATCTCCCCAAGGCCACATCTGCAAATGACTCCTTGATTCTGCTCACAGAAAACAGCAATTATGAGTTCCCCATGATTTACTCGGCTACCAGAGACATTTTTGTAATCTAAATTCACATCTGCTGATGCCCAGGCTGCTAGTGAAGTGACGCATTGGTGCTACCTGGAGTTCACAATGGAGTTCACAGATAGGGCTCGCTTCTGGACTTCTGCAGAAATCCACTTAATGTTACCAGCCAGATGGGGAAATTAAGCCACTGGTGAAAAGCTATTTGGGTTGCACGGTATTTTTGTTTTCTGTTTTGGTGGGAGTAACTGGAGGCTTGGTCTGTTGGGTGCCATTGAGTTGATTCCGACTCACAGTGACCCTATAGGACAGAGTAGAACTGCTTCATAGGGTTTTCTTGGCTGTAATCTTTACAGGAGCAGATCATCTGTTCTTTCTCCTGCGGAGCCCCTGGGTGGGTTCTAACCGCCAACCTTTCAGTTAACAGACGAGCCCTTAACCATTTCACCACCAGGGCTCTTAGAAGGCATGGTCTACAAAGCTGCGTATCTCTGGTAGGGGGAGGGTGTGAGACTCTGTTGCTGGATGATATATACAGTATATTTTTACTTTTGGGGCCATATCTGTATGAATGCTTTGGGTAAGATCCAGAACTCTAAATGCCACATGTGCTAGCTTTCTCCTTCCACTCTGGATTTGCTCCAAATCACATAGTTTGTACTATTAAGGAAAAAAAAAAAATCAAAGCACAAAGAAATGAAAACATATAGGGTTTATTTGAGAAGTTAATCTATAAGCATACAGGGAGACCATTTTGCTTCTAAAAAAACAAACATCTCAATGCAGGCTAGTTACAATGAGGCGTTCAAGGAGGAGAGGGGGAAACAGAAGAGAAAATTACCCATTGACTAATCTTAACGTGGAGCCCTGGTGGTACAGTGGTTAAGAGCTCAGGCTGCTAACCAAAAGGTCGGCAGTTCGAATTCACCAGCTGCTGCTTGGAAACCCTATGGAGCGGTTCTACTCTGTCCTGTAGGGTGTCTATGAGTTGGAATCGACTCGATGGCAAAGTTTTGGTTTGGTTTGGAATCTTAACGTGATTGATTGACTCATGCCCCCACTTATTGAGATCAGGTTGCCAGGTGGTGTATGGCCTGGCTGACCGCACCCCTCCCCGCCCCTGCCCTGTTCGTTTGCACAGATCCTCAGGTGTAGTTGGGAGGTTTTAAAATTATTAAAAAAACAAAACAAAAACCAGGGGCAGATCATCCAATAGGCAAGGTAAGCACTAGTTCATCTGTAGTGAACTATTTCACGTTTTTTCACCACATCAAAGATTCTGGCATCTGTCTCTCTCCCAACCCCACAACATGTTCCTACATGTAGAATAAAAGCTTCTTTTTTTTAAAAATTGTGTTTTAAGTGAAAATTTACAGTTCAAGTTAGCTTCTCATACAAAAATTTATACACATGTTGTTATGTGACCCTAGTTTCTCTCCCTATACTGTGACAGCACACTCCTTTCCACCCCAGATTTCCTGTTTAAGTTGAGCAGAAGAAAACTGAAACAAGTCCACAACCAAACTACAACCTTGAGTATATCCCACCTGAATTTAGAGACCACAGCACACTCCCCCTTTCCACCCCTGATTCCCCATGTCCATTCAACAAGCTCCTGACCCTCTCTGCCTTCTCATCTCCCCTCTGGACAGGAGCTGCCCATGTAGTCTCATGTATCTACTTGAGCTAAGAAGCACTTTCTTCACGAGTATCATTTTACGTCCCATAGTCCAGTCTAATCTTTGTCTGAAGAGTTGGCTTCGGGAATGGTTTCAGTTCTGAGCTAAAAGAGAGTCCGGGATCCATGTCTTCTGGGGTCCCTCCAGTCTCAGTCAGATCATTAAGTCTGGTCTTTTTACTAGAATTTGAACTCTGCACCCCACTTTTCTCCTGCTCCATCAGGGACTCTCTGTTGTGTTCCCTATGAGGGCAGTCATTGGTGGTAGCCGGGCACCATCTAGTTCTTCTGGTCTCAGGCTGATGGAGTCTATGGCCCATTTTGTCTCCTGGGCTAATATTTTCCTTGTGTCCTTGGTGGCAAAGCCTCTTTTCAAATTTACAGTCCCTGACAGGGATGGATTACCCAGTATGCAAGGTAAGCACAGGCTTACTTGTGCTTACTTACTAATTTGTAGTGACCAATTTCAAAGACGTAGTGAAACTCACATAAAATTGCTCGCTACAGATTAGTAAGTAAGCACAAGTAAGCCTGTGCCTACTGTGCTTACTGGGTAACCCGCCCCTGAAAAAAACCCAAACCCCTTGCCATCTAGTCAATTCTGACTCATAGCAACCCTATCGGACAGAGTAGAACTGCCCCATAGGGTTTCCAAGGCAGACTGCCACATCTTTCTCCCCTGGAGTGGCTGGTAGGTTTAAACTGCAGACCGTTTGGTTAGGGCTTTACCATTGCGCCATCAGGGCTCCTTCTTTAAAATGATAAAAGCATGTTAATTACTCAGGAAACTCTAAAGTTTTAGAATTCTCTCTCAGGAAGCAAGGGAAATTACCTAAATTTAAATTCTTTGCATAACGTAAACTGAGCTAGTTTATGGGTAACAGATGTCTTTGTCACAAAGGGGAATCTGTGCTAGTTCATGGTCACTGTGTGTCCACATTATTTCTTTGTATCTGTTCTTGGGTGCATTTCACATTGGTCAGTGACCTTTGTGAATGTTCCTATACACTCAGAGGAACCTGTCAATTCCTGTTTCTCAGTTTCTCTCTTTTAACAATGCGTTTCAATTTTCCCATCTCCAAAACAGGGATGTAGTTATAAACACAAAGAGTAAAATTATGAAACTTAAACCCCAAATAATCGGAGATGGAAAAGTCTTTCGAAAGTATCTAGACCAGGGTTCTCAAACTTAAGCTTGCATCAGCCTCGCCTGGAGGGCTTGTTAAGACACAGATGGCTGGGCCCCACCCTTGGCATTTCTGATTCAGTTAGTCTGGGATGGTTGTTGTTGTTAACTGGCATCCCTCCTGACTCATGGCGACCTTATGCATAACAGAACTAAATGCTGCCCTGGTCCTGGGCCATCCCCATGATTGGCTGGAGATCAGACCATTGTGCTCCATAGAGTTTTCACTGGCCGATTTTCAGAAGTAGATCACCAGGCCTTTCTTCCTAGTCTATCCTAGTCTGGAAGCTCAGTGGAAACAGATTCAGTATCATAGCAACACACCAACCTCCACTGATAGACTGTTGCTGACTGTGCTTGAGGTGCACTGGCTGGCAATCAAACCCTGTTCTCCTGCTTGGAAGGCGAAAATTCTGTCGCTGAATCACCACTGCCCCTACCCGCCTCAGGGGTAGGGCTGGATAATTTGTGTTTCTAACAAGCTTCTAGGTGAAGGCATGTAGCTGCTGCAGCTGCAGGGATCACACTCTGAGAACCAACGGTCTGGTTGTACCCATTCATTGTATATACGAGAGAACTGAGTTTCAGAGCATCCAAGAGTCTCACCAAGGTCACTTGGTTAGTGGTCAGAGTCTGGTTCTTTGACACTGAGCCAACTGGATTTGTAAATACTGTGTCAATACTCAGAAGGATGAACTGATATCAAGTGTCTTGCATATGTGCCTGATGGTGGTTTACCTGATCGTGGTCCACTGCAAGCCAGTCATTTATTTATTTTGGTTTGTTTTTTCAGTGAGTCAAGGTCTCATAAGTCTCCAAGCTAAACAGGAGTACTGCTTGACACCAGAATGCGTTGAAGCTGGTAAGTCACAGTTTTCCATCCTGTTCAAGTTATAATTATGGTACCTTGGGGAGTGGAAGAGAAAACAGGTGATATTTTTAGTATTCTGTTTGCTTGAGGTTCACCAAGTACTAAATGCAATTTTGATGAAATTTTAAGTTTACTTTCAAGTCCCGGTGTGAAGTAGCAGAGCTTAGGTTTCCTGTTTTCTTTTTCCTTGCAAAAAAAACAGCTGTGCTGTGTTCCTGGTGTTGTTATAAGGAAATTAGGAAGGGGCTTGGAAGGCTGAGTAGCCGCTCTTAAGATCTGTCAAAAGCCTAAATGCACAGAGAAACACCAAACATTGGTGTAACTCAGAATATATTTCATTGTGAGTGGATATGATTTGAATCGAGCATCGTCAACCTGAAACTGTGGAGAAGGCGCTCCAAAGAGGGAACAGTGAAAGTGGGTTATACAGGTCACTGTTATGTTAATTTTCAGGAGATGCCATCAGAACATGCAGAGTTCCAGGCAATCGGAGAAACAGAGTCACTAAGGACATGCCATACATTTTCCAGTCAGACCCTGGGGTTCCTGCTCCTGGAAACTGGCTGCACATAGATAATTCTCCAAAAGAGCTCAATGCCTCAGGCAAAACGTTCTCTGCTGAACTGCTTACTAGGTTATTGTTTGACTTGAAGGTGCCTTTAGGAAAACAGTTCCTTAAAGGCTCAAGGTTCAAGAGGGCACCTAAGGGCAGATGGCCTGGGTGGGTCACCCCAACTCCACGAACCCAGAAATCTGCATTCCAGGGGAATCAAAATGGTTTTGTCAGACCTGAATACAGAGACCATAGTCCATTTTCTGGCCTCAGCTGGATAGAGATTCCTATTCATCTTAAGCAGTCTTCCTGTATTTTGTGTCCAGTGGGTCTGACCTGTCTGCTGCAAAGCAGAGATCCTTTGTAAATCCATGCTTCCACCATCACCTGGAATCCCTTTGGGTCTTCACATGCCTTCTAGTCCATATTACAAGTCAAACTTCTCTTGAGGTGACCAGGCCATGTGTTAGTGGGTGCCCCAGGGGGAAGATGAATGTTGCCTTAGGTTTGCCACACCTATTAAGATTCCCTCATAAATCAGGGCCAGGGCCTAGATTTTAAGGACCCAAATCCCAGGCATCCCCCTTCCCTCATTCTTTAAGTGATCAGAGATACTAGTGTGTTTCCCAAAGGAAAAGTTGTAAGACAAGTTAAGCACATGGCCCTTTTGCTTTCCTCCTGGCCTTAAGAGAAGATATTAATGAACGAATTCCCTAAATATTTATTGCATGCCAGGCATTGAGTTAAGTTTGGGGAATACAGCAGTGAACGAGAATGACCAGGTAGGGAAAGAAAGACAATCAACACACAAGGCAATAAATGAACCTGTAAAAGATCAGCTAGCGGTACATGTTATGCAGAAAATTAAAATAGAATAATGTGATAGCAAATGACAGGGTGGCATAATTGACAAATCAGAGGAAATGATGCTGAGGGTGGCTGTGAATGAAGAGAAGGATTGGGGAAAGGTCTTTCCAGGTGGAGGGAAGAGCAGGTGCAAAGGTCCTACAGAGGAATGAGTTTGGCGGACCTGAGGAATGGGAAGAGCTCGCTGGGCAATGGGCAGAGTGCAAGTGATGGGGTCAATGGGGAATCCAGGGCCAGCCCAAGTGGTGCAATGAGTTTGGGTTTTTGCTGAAGTGTGCTCAAAAGCCTCTGGAGGATTTTAAGAAGGAGAGAGACATGATCTTATTAGTGTTTACAAAAATCTCTCCATGGAGAGCTATACTTAGGGTAGTCAGTATGGGTGGAGAAGAGCAACAATGGAAGGAGGACGCTTAAGCAGGAGGAGGTTACTTCAGTAAGCCAGGTGAGAGGTGATGGTGACCTGAATTTGAGAGATGGAGAATGTGGAGGGTTTAGGAGGTACAGAACTTGCTGAAGGATTGGATGTGGGATGTAAGAAAAAGCAGAGAACCAAGAGAGAGATGCTTAAATTTTTGGCTGCTGTTGGGTCGTGCCATTTATTGAGATGGAAAAGACTTTGGTCAAAGAGCTTGTAAACTCTGATACGAAGGTAATGGGTTAGATACTTACATTATTAGAGTTTTTTGTTCCATTCTTAAGTGATCAGTACTTTTTTTAAACCAGACAATGTGTTAAGTGATTTACATGTGCCATCTCACAAAATCTTCATAAGAACATCATTAATTTGGTGCTATCACTAGCTCCATTTACAGAAGAGGAAATGTAGGCTTCTAGAGGCTAAATAATGTGTCCAGGGTAACATTCCTGAGTTAGTGTCAGGGCTGGACTTCAAGTCCATGTCCTGAGTCTGAGCTGTCAGGCTTTGTGCTATTACCTCATTACCTCTCCATCTTTTTCTGGGTGCCATGGGGACATTTCAGCTAAATCTCTTTGGCTTTGGATCTGTCTTGCTCTTTTGTCATAGCAATGAAAGGGTTTTCTCCAGTGGAGAGAGGGTGGAGTGGAGTAGGGTGAGGCACCAGGTGGGGATATCAGAGAACTGGTTTTAGATTTTATATCACCCTGTGCTTTTGCTGGGGCCCTGGTGGTGCAGTGGTTAAGCCTTTGGCTGCTAACCAAAAGGTCAGCAGTTCGAATCCACCAGTCACTCCTTGGAAACCCTATGGGGCAGTTCTACTCTGTCCTATAGGGTCGCTATGAGTCGGAATTGACTCGACGTCAATGGTTTGGTTTTGGTTTTGTGCTTTTGCTGTTGTTGGATTCTTGCTGACGTGTAAAATTGAAAATTTTGAACTCATAAGCTTTCAACTTGAGTTTAGAGAAATTTTTGTATAAAGGGCTACTGATTTCATGAGTCTTGTTTCATTAAGAATTGTAACAATGCAAGGGTAAAACTTACAGAATGACATCTGATAATGTTGCCTCCTGCCAGCTAGTGTGTTTTGCCAGGCTGTCCTGTTTTTAATTTTCACATTGGCGAATAGCTTTCTAATGTTGGCAAAAATATTGATCTTGCTGTTTCTGTAGTGAAATGCTCACCAAGATACAGTACATTCCTTTTTTGTGTAACATGAGCCTCAGCATGCCCAGGGGTCTGAGGAACAACTGTTGAGTGCGCATCATCAGGAGAATTGTGGCCAAGGGAAGGCTGTAAACAAGAAGCCGTGTGTGGGCTAGCATGCGCGTGGCGTGGCGTGGGTCTCTAGGATGGGGAGGAAGTTTGCAGAAAGTACAGAAGATGCAAGTGTTTGTATCTCCTTGTGGACCATTTCTGAGCAGGTGCCAACCATTTCTGAGAGGCCTCCTCTTCATAACTCTCCTTTCTGCCTCTTCTCTGTTTCTTTCTATACTAATTCCTCTTTCAAAATAAGAGCTGGAGAAGGAATACAAAGAAACAAGGCAAGGGCTTGCTATGGATTGTGGATAAGAATGGAGAGGCAGATTTGAGCAAATTACATAACCATCCTAAGTCTCAGTTTCTGCATTTGTAAAATGGGAATAACAGTTTTTAGTTCTCATACTAGTTGTGAACAGTAAATAAAACAATAATGGTAGTCGTAGTAGTCCCGGCCCACTTAACCCCAAGGCTTGATCCTTAACCCCAAACCCAGAAAGCATCGTAATTCTCAGTGGCAAGACCTGACCTGACCTCAATTCGTTTGTTGGGAAAACCTGATCTTAAGTCGTGTGAGGCTGTTTTAGACTTTGCTTATTTCACTTATGAGAATATGCATGTTTCCCTATAGAAATATTAATGTGCTTGTTTCAGAGGGGCTACCCCAGATATTGCTGGCAGTATTGTGTAATCTATGGTGTATACATGGTATTACTTTTCCAAAATCTGAAAAATCATGAGTTCTTAGACATATCTGGCCTCAAGGGTTTCAGATGAGTGATTGTGGAATTGTAATAGCAAATATGTAAGGTTGCCAGATTGAGCTAAATAAATAAATACAGGATGCTCAGTTAAATTTGAATTGCAGTTATATGAGTTTTTTTTTTTTTTGGTATAATATGTCCCATGCAATATTTGGTACATATAATACTATTATTATCCCCATTGTACAGATGAGAAAACTAAGGCACAGAGAGGTTAAATAAACTGTGTAATGTTACCATAGCTATTACGTGGTGTTGCTGGGATTCAAACCCAGGTGGTCTGGGTCCAGAGTCTGTGATGATGTTATACTGCCTGAAAAGGGCTTAGCTTAGTTTCTGTCACAGAGTAAGTGCTCAGTGTCAGTGATACTATTATCATTATGATGATTCTCATTCTCTCCCTTGAGCCCTGTCTAAACCTAAAAGCCCAGGCTGGTATATGGGGGAGGCCTCCGTCTGTACCACATAAACAAACACTACTAGCTGGAGATTGCATAACAGTTTACCCTATATGCAGTGATTTGAGAGAATCCTCAGCCTGAACTTTGACAGGTTTCCTTCATCATCAGATTTCTTTTATCAAAACAAGGCTCTCTGGACATTCTCTCTGGACGTTGCCCCTAAGTAGGGGGAAAGGGGTTTTGGTGTCTTGCCACCTATAGTCCTTTGCAATTTGAAGTCACAGTTCCATGGCAGAAAGTGCAGTCCTGTGCCCAGCTGTGAATTGTGGAAGCTGCAGCTAGGGTTTTCTCACTCAGCAGGATCCTTTCCAAATTCGGTGTGAGTGATGTATTCTCCCACTTTGTAGCAGGGCTGAGGTCAGAGCTGATCTTGCAGTTTTTCTAGGTACCTGCAAGAATACCGAGGAGATGGAGAAGACACATTTGAGGGTTGAGTGTTGGAGCAGGAGGAAGTTTGGGAAGGTGGCCAAAAAGCAATGTGCTTATGTGAATAAAAATGAGTGTGAGAGCTCCCCTGTGTGACTGTAAATATTGTGTAGGACTGAAACTTGTATGATCCATGTCCCTGAGGTGTCACATAGCAGATTCATTCTGTAGCTGTACAGCCAGAGTAACTATAAATACAAACCAGAAAGAAGATTTTGAATGTCCTAGCACATTTGCATGTTAAATATTAACAACAAAATAGTAGCAGTAAGTAAAAATGTAATGAGACAACTGAATTTGTTCTGAAAAGCTAAAATATTAAGCCAATTTGATATTTCTCGAACTTTTAAACCAATTTTTTTTGCTTTAATTTTTGGAATTAGGAGTTTGAAAATGGTGGGGATTTTGAAGTCCTATAGAAATTAGGATGTTCGTATATTATTCATTTAATTGAGGACAAAAAGCTGTTTGAAATTTTCATAGAGAGTTTAGGCTAGACTCTATTTTCAAACCTGGAGAAACTACATATGTAAGCAAACCGTAAGGTATATATCTAAATTTATGCAGATTGTACTGTTTTCAGGAATTCATTCATATTTAGCCGAAAACTCATTGGTTTTTCATTACTTCAAAGAGAAATGTATTCTGGCATTAATTACATAGGAAAATTGCTCAAAATGTCATCTTTCCAATGTCATTAAAATATTGGCTGCCTTTTTATCAATTAGTGCATATCTTTGTGCTAGAGTGGTAGCCAGCAATTGTATGACAGTTGGAAGAGAGTTGAAGTTCAGTATTAGAAATTTTAGAACCTTCTCATTTTGTAATGAAAGATTTTTTTTCAAGCTGTGGATACATATTCAAGGATTTGCAAATTTTCTACCTATCAGCTATCTTCCATATGTAATTGTGTATGAGCTTATAGAAAAAGGAAAAACAGTAGATCCATCTATTGTATCTTTCTGTTAACTTATACAAATACTCAGCTCTCCCTCTAGATCTAGGCGAGAGGGGCCCTGCCCTCGGCCCTTGTTTAGAGGCCTTTATTTTTGCCCTCCTCTGGCCATGCCTCTCCCCCAGTCAAGGAGTCTATGGGGCTAAGCTGGTGGCCTCTCCTTCTATACCTCAGAATTCCCTGCCAGATGGCCCCAAGCCTCCTTCCAGCTGCACCGAATGTCAAGGAGCTCAAGACTTCTGAATTCAAACCTGGCTTTCCAGGTTTTTATGAAAGTATATTCTAAATGTACTTTGTAAATATTTAGTTATATGACATGTTGGCCTCTGTTTCAGTTAGCCTTTGCTGTGAAACAAACCACCCCAAACCTTAGAGACCCGAAACAAGAAAGAGTTAGTATTTCTCATGATTCTGTGGGTTGGGTGGGAGGTTCCTCTCACTCATGTAGCTGCATTCGGCTGGAGGGTCGCTTGGGCTGGACAGTCCAGGATGGCCTCAGTCACATAGCTGGCAGTTGGTGCAGGCTTGGTTCTCTTCCATGTGGCCTCTGGTCCTCCAGGAGGCTTCCTTAAAGGGCAGCCCCAGGACTTCATTCTAAGGGAGTATAATGAAAACTGCAAGGCTTCTTAAGGCCTAAGCTTTGAAACTCACAAAGAAGTAACTTCTGGTTAAAGCAAGTCACAGGGCTAGCCTAGATTCAAGGCAGGGGAGATAGACTCTATTATTTAATGGGAAGAGGGGCAAAGTCACTTTGCAAAAGGACGAGAAGGGTGGCAGGAATAGTTGCACTCATCTTTGCGGACAACCTACCACAGACTCCATTTGTACTCTTATCCCACACCCTGCAAAAACCAGTAACAATAATACCACCAAACTTTTACCCACTCACTCTGAATGCAGTAATTTGATCTAGTGAAGTTGATTCAGAGAGTCATTTGAGGGGAAATGTAAAAGCCCAGGCTTGGGAACTGGTTGATATGAAAAAGTTGTTTAGTTTGGAAAAGAATAGTACACAACATTCAATGCTTGTTATTAATCCTATGATTTTCTTTTCAAATAGCTGCTGTCATCTTGAGTAAAGTAAATATGTCTGTGGATCCCTGCGATAATTTCTTCCGGTTCTCTTGTGATGGCTGGATAAACAATAATCCAATTCCTGAAGATATGCCAAGCTATGGGGTTTATCCTTGGCTGAGACATAATGTTGACCTCAAGTTGAAGGGTAAGTTTCTCCTGGGTTTGGTGATGTACTATACAGACAGCAATATTTGACAAGAAAACATAGTTTGGGGTTTGAAGCAGGACCGCTCACTTTCTAATTATAGTAAATTAATTTCCAAGAATGTTTTTAATGGAAAATTTAAAGGAAATTTTGTGGAATTCCAGTGTCCCAGATCTCAATGCAATCATAGGGTAGGTCGTTATGCTCACACGTGATAATAGTAAGTTCTAGTGGAGAGTGAAGGATAAATAGCTTGCATTTGACTGAGACTGGGAGCAAAAGAACAGTTAATAAAGATTATGTTATAATCAGTATGCTTATTTGTCTGTGCTCTGCAGAGTAAGCTTCATCTCTTGCTCATTGTGTTTCGGATTTCCATGGCTTACAAACTATACTTAACACCTCATTGTCTTTTGACATCACTTTTGAGAACTCTGGATGACCTCGTGGTTGTCATATTGTTCCTGTTAACTTCCAAGTTGGCTCCAGGGAGACTCTTTTCTCCCATGACCTCTCCACCAAAGACAAGCTCACACAGAAATACTCATCCATGCACGTGCGCGTGCACACACGCACACTCTAATCGTGCATGCAGAAATATCATTGAAGGGTAAAAAGAAGAGAAGGTTTCTAGATAGATGATCCTTTTGCATTAGTTATATCCAAAAGAGTTTTATAATCAGGGCGTGAAGTGGTTAGAAGAAAGAATTTTTTAGGAAATCATTATCGATGTGTTTTGTTTGCAGAGGATGCTATATATAGGTTCCTTTAAAGTTCATAGAAATGAAAGTAAATGGTTCAGAACAATACAGAGGTTTTTGTTTGTTTGCTTCCTTTTAAAAATGAAAAATTTTATTTCCAAGCTCAGCTGGAAAAATAAAAAAGAGCAATACTAACAGGTAAAAAGTAGAAAGTAAGCCATCCATAAATCCACCCCTAGAAATAACTAATAAAGGAATTGGGTATATATCTTTCCAGATTTTTTACATATGCAGGTACACATACATACCCTCACAGGCACATCCATATATTTTAAAAATTAGCTAGTATTATTAGCTAATTATTATTAGCTAGTTACTACTCTGTAACCGTCTTTAAAAAATTATATGTTTTTTGTAGACATGTTTTATGTTGGTAGATGTCTTTTCTTATTGAAAATAATGCTGTAGTAAACAACATTGTGTACACATTTTTGTGTACTTATATAAATGTATCCTTAGGATAAATTCCCAGAAATGGAATTGTTGGGTTGAAACAGTACTCACAATTTAATTTTTGGTGCATACAGCCAAATCACCCTTCAGAAAGTTTATTTCTAGGTCTTTATATATTTTCTTGCTTTTTAAAATAACTTTTCTACATGAACTGCTTTTTTCGTATAAAGTAGAGGTTAGCAAACTTTGGCCTGTGGGCCAAATCTAGCCCATTGCCTGTTTTTGTAAATGAAGTTTTATTGGAACACAGCCACACTCATTCATTTATATGTTATATATGACTGCTTTTGCGCTACAATGGCAAAGTTCAGTAGTTGCTACAGTGACCATATGGCCTACAAAACCTAAAATATATACTATCTGGTCCTTATGGAAAAAATTTGCCAACCCCTGATGACTAGTGTAAAGTAAAACTTTGGTATATTTATATTGGATCTGATTAAACTGTCTTACTAGTTAATAGCTTTTTCTTTTGTATCTTTTAGATAGCTAATCATAAAATTAGGAAATTGTAATTTTTTCTCTTCCTTTCCTTTTTCTTGTCTTACTGTATTAGCTAGAGCCTCCAGAACAGTGTTGAATAATAGTAATGATTAAAAAAACCCAAAAACCCATTACCATCAAGTCCATTCCAACTTGTAGCAACCTTATAGGACAGAGTAGAACTGCCCCATAGGGTTTCAAAGGAATGGTTGGTGGATCTGAACTGTTGACCTTTTGGTTAGCAGCTGTAGCTCTTAACTACTGTGCCACCAGGGCTTCATAAATGTATAGATACTATCTATCTATCTATCCATCTACCTATCTATCTATCTCTATGCATTTATAGATATAAAAAACCGTTGCCATCGAGTTGATTCCAACTCATAGTGACCCTACAGGACAGAGTAGAACTGCCCCACAGTGTTTCAAGGACCAACTGGTGGATTCAAACTGCCAGCCTTTCGGTTAGCAGCCGAGCTCTTAACCACTGTGCCACCAGAGCTCCTCATAAGTGTATGGATAGATTATAGTTGGTCTACAATGAGCTTGTATTACACCTGGATGGAACGATGAATGGATGGATGGTTGGATGACTAGGTAGAGCGACTGATAGATACATAGGTAGATATAGAATACAGAAAGATATAGATAGAATATAAAGATCCAATGTTTAATAAAAAAAATGATTATCAACACATCTGATATTTGGAAAGGTGGACTTATATACGCTTCAAGAATATCTAGTCATCTACAGTATACTGGCAAAGAGGTCAGCAAATATATGGATATCTGTATTTATATCTATCTGTATAGAATATAAAAATCCAGTATTTATATCTATATAAATATTTATAGCTATCTGTGTAGATATTTATATTATAGATATAAATATTTATATATATCTGTATTTATGCATCTATATCTGTATTATATCTAAATAGATATAATATAGATATGTGTATATCTATATTTGTATCTATTTAGATATATTTATTTGTATAGAATATGGAGCCCTGGTGGCAGAGTGGTTAAGAGCTCAGGCTGCTAACCAAAAGGTCACCAGTTCGAATCCACCAGCCACTGCTTGGAAACGCTATGGGACAGTTCTACTCTGTCCTGTAGGGTTGCTCTGAGTCAGAATTGACTTGATGGAAACGGGTTTGGTTTTTTGGTTTGGTATAGAATACAAATATCCAGTATTTATGTCCATATAAATATTTATATCTATCTGTATAGATATTTATATTTATATTATAGATATAAATATTTACATCTATCTGTATTTATATTTAAATATATGTAAATATAGATATCCATATATCCTTATTTATATATAAATATATAGAGAGATATCTATGTATATTTAGATATATAGAGATACATATATATCTACATATATATCCATATGTTTTCTGACCTCTTTGCCAGGAGCCCTGGTGGCACAGTGGGTAAGAGCTACAGCTGCTAACCAAAGGGTTGGCAGTTTGAATCCACCAGCTGCTCCTTGGAAACCCTGTGGAGCAGTTCTACTCTGTTCTGTAGGGTCGCTATGAGTAGGAATCAACTCGACGGCAACGGGCAAGGGGTTTGCCAGTATACTGTAGATGACTAGATATTCTTGAAGTGTATAAATAGAGCTTTCCAAATATCAAATGTGCTGACAATCTTCTTTTTTAATTGAACACTGGATCTTTATATTCTATCTATATCTTTCTATATTCTGTATCTATCGATGTATCTATCAGTCACTCTACCTAGCCATTCAACCATCCATCCATTCATCATTCCATCCAGGTGTAATACAAGCTCATTGTAGACCAACTATGAACGAACAACAAGAGGAAGCATACTTCAATCCCTTCACCCAGAGTTAACAACTTTTTAAAGGCAAATGTACATATAAAATTAAATATATATGTATCAAAAGGGATCATATAATATAGTCTATTTTTATAATTTTCTCTTTTAACTTGACATGTTGTGAACATCTTTTCATGTCAATAAAAATAGATTTATACCATCATTTGCTATGATTCCTTTGTATGTTGTTAAGTGCGGTTGAGTCAGTTCTGACTCATAGTGACCCTGTGTACCACAGAATGAAACACTGCCTGATCCTGTGCTATTCTCATGATTGCTGTTATGCTTGAGCCCATTGTTGCAGCACTGTGTCAATCCATCTCATTGAGGGTCTTCCTCTTTTTCGCTGACCCTCTACTGCACCAAGCACGATGTCCTTGTCCAGGGACTGATCCCTCCTGACAGCATGTTCAAAGTATGTGGGATGAAGACTCACCATCCTTGCTTCTAAGGAGCATTCTGGCTGTATTTATTCCAATACTTGTTCGTTCTTTTGGCAGTTTGTGGAATAGTCAATATTCTTTTGCAGCACCATAATTCAAAGGCATCAGTTCTTCTTCAGTCTTCCTTATTCACTGTCCATCTTTCGCACGCTAATGAGGCGACTGAAAACACCACGGCTTGGGTCAGGTGCACATTAGTCCTTAAAGTGACATCTTTGATTTTTAACATTTTAAAGAGGTCTTTTGCAGCAGATTTGCCCAATGCAATGCATCGTATGATTTCTTAACTGCTACTTCTGTGGGTGTTGATTGTGGATCCAAGTAAAACGAAGTCCTTGGTAACTTCAATCTTTTCTCCGTTTATCATGATGTTGCTTATTGGTCCAGTTGTGAAGATTATTGTTTTCTTTATGTTGAAGTGTAATCCATAACGAAGGCTGTGGTCTTTGATCTTCATCAGTAAGTGCTTCAAGTTCTCTTCACTTTCAGCAAGCAAGGTTGTGTCGTCTGCGTATCGCAGGTTGTTAATGAGTCTTCCTCCAGTCTGGATGCCATGTTCTTCTTAATATAGTCCAGCTTTTCAGATTATTTGCTCAGTATACAAAGTGAATAAGCATGGTGAATGGACACAACCCTGATGCACACCTTTCCTGATTTTAAACCACACAGTATCCCCTTGTTCTGTTTGAATGATTGCCTCTTGATCTATGTACAAGTTCCTCATGAGTACAATTAAATGTTCTGGAATTCCCATTCTTCCCAATGTTATGCATAATTTGTTATGGTCCACACAGTTGAACGACTTTGCATAATCAATAAAACACAGGTAAAATCTTTCTGGTATTCTCTGCTTTCAGCTATGATCCATCTGACATCAGCAATGATATTCCTCGTTCCATGTCCTCTTCTGAATCTGGCTTGAATTTCTGGCAGTTCCCTGTTGATGTACTGCTGCAGGCGCTTTTGAATGATCTTCAGCAAAATTTTACTTGTGTGTGAT